GGGCTATCTCAAAAAAAATCAGATAGAAAATAAAAGAAAAAGATGCTAGTTGAGTTTGAAAAGGAACAAGCTAATGACTGACTTAATGACTATCTTGGGATAATATCAGATTTGTCAGAGAACAGAGAAAAAACATTATCTGTATTCCTCTGATAAATTTTTAAATTCAGAATTTCTTTTGATTCCAGAAACTCTAATTTCTTCTCTAAGCAAATATCTTCAAGAGCCCTCATTATGTTTTTATTAGCATTGTCTTCATTTCTTCCATTAACTCAACTTCCAAGGAAAGCTCCTAATCTGATTATTCAGCCTGAATTCCCTTTTTTAAATAGTTATCTCCTTAAATGGCTAGCGATGTTTCTTCCCATTCATGTGCCAACTAGCTTGTAGAATCCTGAGCATGGGATCAGTTAGAATGCTAAGCTTCTCGGATAGGAGTGAGTGGTGGAGAAGTGAAGGTAAGGTGGTGAGTTTCTCCCTGTTAACAAGAGGAGGAGGAGGAGGTTGGTTCTTGTTCCACGCCAAAGAAGAATTTCCATGGGTACAGTGAGAGTGAACAAAGCAGAAGTTTTGAAAGAAAGGAGGAGTATCCTTTTAAACCAGTCAGGGGGTAGGGGGGCCTCCAAGGGAGGAGTTTAACTTCTGCACAGATGGCAAGTACAGGCTCTTTTACCACACAAAATGGCACCAAAAATGCTGTGTAACTCTTAATTGGTTGGTTTGAGGGCTTGAAAATATGTCCAATCAGCAAGGCCTATAGGAACATACACTTTTATTGGTCTACAAAGGTAGAGGTTAACAATCAGGAAGACAAGGATGGAAATTATTGTTGTTGCAAGCAGCAGGTCTCCATGCTGGTTGCTAGAGTTAGGGAGGCGTCACTGGGCTAGCTCAAGCAAACATCCTGTCTTCCTAGATGAAATTAAGTGCTGTTAAAGGCTACCCCAAGGAGGGAACAAATGTTCTTCTTCTATTTTTGAAGGGATGTTGCACCCTTTTTCCATTTTAACAGGGATATTACCTAACTGCCAATTTTCCATCTAATTCCCACACCTTAAGTGGGCACACAGCACAAAGTCTGATCCAGGGAGTAAGGCTCTAAGTACCCCTGTGATGTGAGAGTTGCTACTAGAGGAAGCACAAACAAGGCAGTCTTTCTCCTGGACACCAAATTTTTCTGATCCCTGCCCACAAAAGTTTCATTGGCTGAGCCAGCTGGCTGCCCTTCAAGGTATCCAAACCTTGATGATATCCAAAAGAAGATGATGTCTTGTGTCATTTCCTGAGGGGCAGGCCTCTTTTGTAGCTTCCTAGTTTGGAACTCGTCCTTTCTGGTGTGGCTACCTGGGCCTCCCACCAAGTTCTTGGTTTTGGGGAGTCATCCTATATGAACTGGCCTACCAAGTTCCAATGTTTGACCACAATTGTTTTAGTTGATTGAGTTGCTGATGCAAAAAATAGAAACATTTAGGGGACATCTGAAATCTGCGTATTAAAGCTTGAAAAACATGCTGAGCAAACGCTACAATTAGTTTTGAGGAATTCTTGGGACCTCTAGTTGACTCACTAGTTTCTCTCCCATTCTCTGGTCTACCCACAATTTCCCTCACCTATTTTTACTCCTGGTTGTTTGTCTTATACCACTTAATCGTCTATTTAACCTATCATTTTTCTATGCAAAAACAGCCCCACAAATTCTTGCTTCCTTCCCTCCCTATTCTTTTGCAAATGTATAGCCATGAAATTGGATAGGAATGTTTGTATGTTTCAAAATGTGAGCGTCTCAGGGGATGCACACAGTACATATTGATGCCACAACTGTACCACAAACCATTCAGACTCTCCTGGAATGGGACACAGGCATCACTATTTTGATAAAAACTTCCCAGATAATTCTAAGGTATAACCAGGTTTGAGAACAATTGATATGGAAACTCATTGGTTTCCCCTGGGCAATAGCCCAGACACTTGGCAGAGAGTTGGTACCTGATAAAGGAGCACAGTTCTCCAAGGCTTTTACAGTGTAACAGTGAATGCTACAGTCATTTCTAGAGGGGAGAGATTTCTGTGAGTTGGGTGGAGTCATTAATGAAGGATTTTTTTTCTTTTGTAAACATAAGTAGAAGGGCTGGCGCCATGGCACAGTAGGTTAATCCTCTGCCTGTGGTGCCAGCATCCCATATGGGTGCCGATTATAGTCCCAGCTGCCCCTCTTCCAATCCAGCTCTCTGCTATGGCCTGGGAAAGCAGTAGAATATGGCCCAAGTGCTTGGGCCCCTGCATCCGCATGGGAGACCAGGAAGAAGCACCTGGCTCCTGGCTTCAGATCAGTGCAGCTCTGGCCGTTGCAGTCATCTGGGGAGTGAACCAACAGAAGGAAGACCTTTCTCTCTGTCTCTCCCTCTAACTGTCTGTAACTGTACCTCTCAAATAAATAAAATTTTTAAAAAATATATAAGTATGGTAGTATTTATTTACACAATTAAATAGAATATTTACTCATTTACACAATTACCTTTCTCATATATATATATATATATATATATATATATATATATATAACAGCAACTGTTAATGTATAATGGGAGACCAGGAGGAAGCACCTGGCTCCTGGCTTTGGTTTGGCGCTGCGCGCCGGCCTTAGCAGTCATTTCGGGGGTGAACCAATGGAAGGAAGACCTTTCTCTCTGTCTCTCTCTCACTGTCTAGCTCTGCCTGGCAAAAAAAATAATAAAAATAAAGTTAATGCATAAACCTGTAACTTGTTAAGTTCCTTATATGATAATTTTTATTTTTATGTTATATTCAGTGTTAATCGAAACAATTTTAATGTTTAAAGAGGGAGAAATGCTAACTAACTCTCTTTGATACTTAGTTGGAATCCATGAAAGTTTAAAATCATAGATTTAGCTATACTTTGTAAATAATACAAATCTAGTCATCCTACATACACAATACTTATGTAGTGGATATTATATCCCAGTTATTAATATATTACTTATACTCACTGTAAAGCCGCAATAACTCTTTAAGTTGCCTCTCATTTTTCTTTCCATTTTACACATAGAGAACTGAAGCAGAGGTTAAGAGACTTGCCGGGGACACTAAAGGTAGTACACTGCACAGTCAGGATTTTGAACCCTGGCTGCCTGGTTGTCAGCTTCAAGCCCCAAATTATTTCAGTACAGTAGTATATTTCTAGGACAGAATTACGGTTAGACCCACCTGTGTTTCCTTATATTGAGCTAAACATTTCCTCTTTTCCATATACATCTGTGAGTTCTAATCTTGCCTTTTGAAGACAGATCTATTTCTTCTATTAAAGGGCCCTTCTGTATCTAGGATAATAGGATGTTCATGAAGCGAAATTCCTTATCAATCAACCAGTGTTGCCCTGCATTTATAGAGGTACTCCCAATGTAATGGGTCTCCTTTTGATTGTGTCTAATCTGTGGTGTTGTGGGTTGCATTCTTGGGGAGCAGTTGCTGAAACTGAGGATGGGATGTGAGTTGTTTATTAAGAAGCCAAACCTATGGAAGAAAAGCAGCAGCAGCAGGACGAGATGGAGAAGTCAAACAGAAACAGAATTCTAACAAAGCCTTACGCAATCCATCAGGGAGCTCAGAAGTGAAGAGTTCCTACCAAGTCATCCTACACAGGCGTTAGAGAGACAGGGTCTTTCTATCCCCTCGCTGCCCAGTCCCTGGATTTTGGCTGTTCCAGTGACCTCAGGAGAGGCAATCTGGCTTTTGAGGCACAAGTTGGAGGAAGTAATAGCTGGTTGTTGTCTGCTCACCATACTCATTGAGCTTCTCATTAGACAAAGAAAGGTCAGAGGTTACCTTCATATAATCAACTAGAAACGCTGATTTCTCAACAGCAGAACTGGAACCCTGAAAACAGGAGAATTGCAGCATTGAGGAAGAATAATTGTCAACCTAAAACTGTGTATCCAGCTAAACTATCTGTTGGGAATCAGAATAAAAGCCAATCATGGACAAATTAAAGATTAGAGCAATACTCTTACTTAATCCTCTTTCTGTATTACACTTAGTGATGATTACCTTTTTTCATGCCTTATCGCCTTTTCAAATGTGTGAGACAGCTAGCTAGCCAAGACAGGTTTAACATTTCCTGACCATGGCTAACGCAAACATAAATTTCTTTGACTTTCAGTCTCACAACAATATAGTCCATTAGATTATTATTTTTAAAAACCAGTCATTAGCTCATAAGTCTACATATTTAACCATTTTTCCATCTTTCCCATAGCTTCAGCTCCACTATACATGTTACATTAGCACTCTTCGGAATGACTTCACTCACAGACTGACATTTGCTCTTCTTTTTCTAAATATACTGTATTCTTGATTAATTAGCATTAAACTCATGGCTAATAGAATTATAGCTCATGTTAAAATCATTTTTAAATTTGTGGCAAAACCTCTAGCTCATAATTGTTCATAATATTCACTCTCTTATACCCGGAGATCCATCTCCCTCCTGTTTGTACAAAAATTCAGTCTAGAGTGATGTAGGCAGCATCTAAGATCACTATCAGTCTAACAATGTCTGAAGGAAATGGAGTTGGAACAGAGAGATACTTCTTCACTGCTTGTTCTTGGTGTCAGCCAAAAATGGTTCTAGCAATTTATACTTCCTCCAACCATGTATTCCTGTTTCACAGAACACATAGCCATGCTTCTTGTTGTTGGATTTTAGTATTTGCCAGTTTACTGAGTATAAAATGACATCTTCTGGTTGTTATTGTTTTAATTGAAACACATTCTTTCTCTTTAGAAGCACTTTTTAAAAATTCCTTTATTGCATATTTAATCTAAGCATCAAAAATTAGTCAGAATGTTTACTCTCCTCCTGAACAACTTGTGGACCTTAGAATGCCTTAATTCTGAACACTTCTCATTTTCGTAGTTGAGTTGTACAGCTGAGTCACATTATTTACAGATTCCTTATACATGAACACACCTACTCACTAAAATTTATTTGTAACCATTTATTACCCCCAAATTAGTTAGGCAATGGTGAGGTGAGAGAAACTGCTGAGTTGTCTTGGAAATTCTTGGAGCTTCTTTGATGGAGGTAATCGAAATAGAACATAGCTCATGCCAACAGTTCATGCCAAATAAAGACGACATAGGACCGAACAGGAAGATTAAGAAATTCATGCTGAAGAATTAAAAGTCTTCCTGGCTCTGTTGCCCACCCTGAACTCAGAATACTAGAACATTCCCCAGTGAGGACACATGTGATCTCCTCTTGAGAAATGGGTGGCCCCAGATAGTCCTGCCCCCTGGGACCCTAACCCAAGAGTTAGTTTATCGTCCCACACCTTTCCAGTCAACTGACTAATGTTGTCTTCTTTTATTGGAGAATTTTGAGCATTTTTAGCGTGATTCTCAGACACACATAAATTTTATGTGTGATCTCGAACAACACGTAAATATAAACCTAAAAGACTGAAATTACAGGCCTGTGTTTTGGCACAGTCGATTAAGACACCATCAGCTACTCCAGCACCCCATATGATCCTGCTGTTGCTGGATCCAGCTCCCTACTAATGTGCCTGGGAAAGCAGTGGATGATGGCCTAAGTACTTGGACCTCTGTAACCCATGTAGGAGACAAGGATGGAGTTCCTGGCTACTGGATTTGGCTGGGCTCACTCTTGGCCATTGCTGCCATTTCAGTGGTGAACCAGCTGATGGAACATCTCTCTCTCTGTCTCTCCCTCCACCTTTGTAACTCTGCTTTTCAGATAAATAAATGAATCTTAAAAAGAAAAGGCTGAAATTAAAGTTGCATCAATCAGTGTCAACCTGTACTAGAATCATTCTGGTATTTTTTACTTTATTCTACACAATTCCATTCCATGCCCTCTTTTCCCATTCTATTTTCTCTTTTTTAAAAGTGGTAGTCAAAACATACTAACTTGATTTCTCAACATTTTGACTCTCAGTTTGAAAAAATAGGCAGAAAGAAAATGAACATTCACTTATCTGTCACAAACATTTAAAGCAACCAATCATTGCACATCATTAATGCACTTTGGTACATGTGAATGGACACTAACATCCATTGTGATATTGAAGAAGGTTAACCATAATCAAATAAGAGATAAAAAGAAAACATATAGGGAAATAAAATTAGAACAAAGCATGTCACAGAAAATGTTTCAAAATAGTATTATAAGGGCCAAATTGTGGCTCAGAAGGTTAAACTGCTGTTTGGGATGCTAGCATCCCAATTTGAGTTCTGGTTGCTCTGCTTCCAATGCAACTTCCTGCTAACACACCTGGGAAGGCAGCAAAAGATGACCCAAGTACCTGGACCACTGCCACCCATGTGGGAGACCTGGATGCAGTGCCAGGATCCTGGCTTCAGTTTGGCCCAGCCACGGCTGTTGTGGCCATTTGGGAGTGAAGAGAAGTTGGAAGATTTTCCTCTCTCGCTTTCTCTCACTGAGTTTCAAATGAATAAATCCTTAATTAAATTATTATAATTGACACTTAGATAAAAGATATTGCTTTTTTAAAAATATTTATTTATTTGAAAGTCAGAGTTACACAGAGAAAGAGAGGCAGAGAAGGAGAGACAAGTCTTCTATCCACTGGTTCACTCCTCAGTTGGCTGCAACGGCCAGAACTGCGCCAATCCGCACCCATATGGGATGCCAGCACTGCAGGAGGTGGCTTTACCCGCTATGCCACAGCGCCAACCCCAAGATATTGCCTTTAAAATATAGAGCAGGGGCCAGTGCGGTGGCGTGCAGGAAAAGCTGTGTCGCTCCCCCTCTTCATGGAGGAGCAACACTGAACCCTGCGCTGTTCTTTCTGTCTGCTCGGCCCTCCCCGGGTTTGCTGCTGGTTCTTCCCGGGTTGGCTACTATCCCTTCCACCTCCGTGGAAGGGCAGGTCCCCCTGGCCGCATTCCCCACTTCCGCAGGGGAGCGGCACACCGCCGGCCGGGTCTCTCGGGGGCTGCACGGGTGTTCCTTCAGCTAGATGTTCCCCTTAGATGTTCCTGGTGCATGCCGTCTCTCTCCTCCTTTATAGTCCTCCTCCGCCAATCCTAACTCAGCTGCCCACACGCCGAGTACGCTGCTCTCCTCCAATCAGGAGCAAGTCCTACAGTTTATTAGCTGAACTGGAGGCAGCTGTGCGGAAGCTGTTTACTTCTCTCCCAGCGCCATATTGTGGGAGAGCAGATGCATAGAATAAGTCTTAATTCCAGTAACTCAGTCTAGTCCGGTTTGCTCCCCACAGATCCCCCTTTCTTTTTATTTTTGGCGTTGATACGCGCCTGTCTTCGGTGTCCCGCGGCACACACTCTGCTCTACTTGCTAGAGATGCCACAGGCTCTTACAAGTCCTATCAATCAGGCAAACCGAATCCGGGTCCTCTCTTCGCCATGTTGTGAGGAGGTTTTTAGGCGCTGATGCGTGCCTGTGTTCGGTGCCCTGCAGCGCATGCTCTGGTCGAGCCTGCAGGGGCTTACAAGCCCTATCAGGCAAACCGAATCCAAGCCTTCTCATTGCCTTTTTGTGGGGAGGCCTTACTGATGTTAATTCGTGCCTGTCTTCGGTGACCTGCGGCGCATAAGCTGCTAGCCGCCGCAGGTGCTCATCGTGCTCATCGCCTCACTTAATCAGGCAGACCGAATCCAAGCTTTCTCGTTGCCATGTTGAGGGGAGGCCTTTCTATTTCTCTATTTCTCTATCTCCGGGCATTCCTATTTCTCCCATTTTACTTCTATCTTCCAGCATTCCTATTTCTCTCACTTTGCTTCTAAACTTCTGTTTCTCTTGTCCCTGCGGCTTTCCGGTGCCCGCCCCGAGGCTGCTTCTCGGCACCCGCCCCGAGGCTGCTTCCCGGCTCTGAGCCGCTTCAGCCCGCGCCTCTTTCATCTGCGCAGCTTCCCGGCTTTGCGCGGCTTGGCTTCGCGCGCTCCGCGGTCTCCACGCCCTTCGCGTCTGCACCACGGCCTCGCGCCAGCCCCGTTCCCTATCTATTCACGCCCCGTGCTCTCTCTGCACGCAGCGGCTTCCGCGAGTAACACAGCGTAGCTTACGTGTCCGCCACTAGCATTCAATCTAAGTTCCCCGGGCTAGCCTGGCGAATTCAACCCAGCATACGTCTCCGCCCCACGGTTTGGCTTCCCGTCCTTTGCTCCCCGGGCTAATCAGACGGATCCCAATCTGGCTTACGTTTCAGCTTCTGGTTTCAACTTTTCGCCCCCCATTCCCGGGCTAACTTGAGAACCCCAAAGTGGCTTCCGTTTCCGCCTTGGCCTGCACTCGCGGCTTCATTTTCCCTAACATTTTTCTCTACCCGGTATATTTCCCCCAGCTTTCCTCCAACAATATTCCTCCCTCATTTCTCCTGGCCTCTCCCCACAGTCCGCATCCGAGTCTGTTTGTTCTAGCTTTCACTTTCACTTTCGACCTTAGAGATTTCTCCCAGCTTCCCCCCGTAGTCCGTATCCGAGTCTATGCCTAGGCTTTCAATAGCTTCTTCCGGCTCCTTTTTCGTCCGGCTTTTCCCTAGGCTGTTTGCTAGTCTCTCTCTCCGGTAATTTCCCAGTTCTTCCCGTTTCTTCCCTCCTAGGTTTCCTATCCGAGTCACGGCACCATTATGTCGCTCCCCCTCTTCATGGAGGAGCAACACTGAACCCTGCGCTGTTCTTTCTGTCTGCTCGACCCTCCCCGGGTTTGCTGCTGGTTCTTCCCGGGTTGGCTACTATCCCTTCCACCTCCGTGGAAGGGCAGTTCCCCCTGGCCGCATTCCCCACTTCCGCAGGGGAGCGGCACACCGCCGGCCGGGTCTCTCGGGGGCTGCACGGGTGTTCCTTCAGCTAGATGTTCCCCTTAGATGTTCCTGGTGCATGCCGTCTCTCTCCTCCTTTATAGTCCTCCTCCGCCAATCCTAACTCGGCTGCCCACACGCCGAGTACGCTGCTCTCCTCCAATCAGGAGCAAGTCCTACAGTTTATTAGCTGAACTGGAGGCAGCTGTGCGGAAGCTGTTTACTTCTCTCCCAGCGCCATATTGTGGGAGAGCAGATGCATAGAATAAGTCTTAATTCCAGTAACTCAGTCTAGTCCGGTTTGCTCCCCACAAGCTGCAACCTGCAGTGCCGGCATCCCAATGGGCGCTGGTTCGAGTCCCGGACTTGGCCCAAGGAGATGATTTGGCAAGCTGGAGGGTCTCCCGCCCAGATGAGGTGTGGCTAATGGAAATGGTACCAGAGTGGAAGTCAGGAGAGCTGGCTGTGATTCCACCCTCACTCACTGTCACCTGATGTGGAGCTGGTCCTGTTGCTGCAGGTCCCACTCCTCAGCTGAGCAACATGGACAACAATAATGGCTCCACCTTCTTCACAGATGATCAGCAGATATGTTATATAACACGGGAAAGAGCATTAGGTAAAACGGGAAGTCTTACACAAGTGGAATCATCACAAAATTTGAATATAATTTTTCAGATTAATGATTTACCTCTAGAATTAGAAGGAACAGACTCTAAACTGCACATTGTCTCACAGCCACGCCTCCGGGCTCAGGTCCCTGGTTTCCTGTCCCTTGGTATATTAACCACCCTTTCCACTTTCTGATCCCATCACCAATACAGTAACTTTTCCTTTACTTGCTTTTCCAAAACTCCCAAAAAGTGGCTGGGTCTTCTCATCTTTCAAGAGAAGATGGAAATCAGAAGCTTTATAATTAAAAAAAAAAACTTCAAATGTTGAAAGTTTAAACAATAATTTAAAAGTATTTATAAAATACAGTGGGATCAAATCAGAAACACTTATGTATTAGTTGACTTTGCAACCTTGAACCTAGGCTAACTCCTTTATTTGTACAAACCCTCATGCTTCTAAACCCAGCACAATAGAGTTAGAGACTACGGACCTGCTTCCCAGGGTCTATAGCAGCGGGAGCCAGAGCCAGGAATTAAACCCAGGTATTCCAACGTGGGACATAGGCATCTTAACCACTAACCTGAACACCCACTCTCCAGTTGGTTCCTTTTCCCACTCTACCCCAATGTTCCCTTGCTTCAATAGCTCTTATTTTCAGAGATTAAGTCTGATTTACCCTGGAACCAGAGCACAGGACCAGGACTTTGGATACCTGTTTAAACAGACCACACCACACTCTAGCTCTTTTACTTTCTGCACAAAAGTGACAACTAGTGAAGTGAGATAACCCAGCTTTTATATTTATCTAAAATCACAGTAGGCCCATGTAGGAAACCCTGCAAGCCCAAGATTTTGAGCTTGGACTGTGACTTAATCTATCAGTGTCTAGGGAATATTTTATGTGTAGGTCTTATTGTTCAGGTATGGTGAGACCATCAGATCAGGAGACATCTGTCACTGAAAAGGTGAGACACCTGTTACAGTTTCCAAGACAGGAGGATAGGTCATGTCACACACAGCCACAGGGGAAGCCCCAGTCAGCAGGCAGAGGAAAATGCAGGCAAGAGCCTCTGTTGAGGCTTGCACAGGCAGGAATGAGCAAGGCACGGTGAGCAGGCTCTGGTACTGTCTAGTTGTCTGGCACCTGAGGTCAGTCACTGGGGCCTGCAGTGTGAGAACCCATTTAGAAGGTGGTTGGGGTCTGGGCTCTGGACTACTTGGTTTTGCAAGTGAAACATGTGTGTGTCGGCCAGGGACTGGCTAGCCCTGGCGGGAGCAAGGTCCCTCTAGGGTCAGCAAAGCATCAGAAAGACATGATTAAAACATAACAGTCTCCAAGCAGTATTTACCCTCCACCCGAGGTACCCCTGGAGAGATACCAGCATGCAGGGGAGAGGCCTTCCACAACGGGCCCTAGTATATGAAGGAGGACATGCAGGGAAAGGCCCCTCATGAGTGAGGGGAAAGGACGGCCAGGGATGTGGGAGACGAATGCACTCAATGCCAAGGCAGGGTCAGGCTTGCTGTGAAGAGAGAGACACGCTGCTCGGTTGTGTTTTCCCAGGTAGCCTTCGTCTCTAACATCCTGGGGCCACGTTTTCTGAGGCTAAAGGAAGCCCCCACTCTGAGTGGAGACAGTTACGTTTGGGTGCAGAGAGAGCAGCAGAATGCAGATGACTCTGCTGGAATGCACCGCCCTTGATCAATCACTCCATCAGAATTTCTGGAGCAGGAATCTTCGGCACCCTCTCTCTGCCTCTGTCTCTCTACAGGAGCATTCCTGCGGGCTATAGTCCAGAGCTTCCTTCTCAGACTTCCAGGGAAGGGAAAAGCAAAATCAAATCCATGGCTAGGGAAGAGTTGTAGGAGAGAGCAAAAGTAAGAGTCAGGCTGTATGAACCTCCAGAGAATATTGTTTTTCTTCCAGTGATTGACTGAGAAAACAATTACATTTCTCAATAGTCTTCCAGCTGAGCCTTGGATGTAGCACTACCTAACATACAGATTGCTAGTCTGAGGCTCCCCTTTCAGTGTGACTGGATCATCAGGAAAGAATGGTTAGGAACACACACACACACACACACACACCCATACTCAGAAGAAAAGCAAAATGCTTTTAAAATCAGATCACTAGGTTGTGAAAGACTGGGCAACATTTCACTATTTAGGAAAAATATTTATTTGCAAGAAATAGAAATACAAAAGCATAACAATTTCGATTTATTTTTTGTCCAAACTAAGTACAAGTATCCTACAAAGTATTTTTATTTTTATTGTGTTGGTACTTAGCTTATGATAAAGAGTAAAAAGCCAGTAAAAAAAAAAAAAGCACAAAGACAGATAATAGACTCAAAATGCACTTAGATTTTAACACTGCTGGTCTACGCAACCTGTTAGAAAAGGGAGGGAGGTCCCAGCAACAGCACAGACATTAAAGCTTACTGATGATTCTAGTCCAGGGGCTGCTCACTACCATTGAGAAGGACCACTCATAGTTTGCCAAGGAGCACTGGTGTTTTCCAAAGACTCATAAAGCATTTTATCTGAAAGGGAGATTTTTTTAAGTAGTGTAGGTCATGGGTCCATGGTGCAAACAACTCCTGTTCTCACCCAGCTGGTGAGCCAAGGATGGGATCCGAGACACAGAGCTTAACACCCCGGTTTTCCTTTCTCCAATGCAAAGCCTGCCAGCTGGAACTCACAGAAGACAGGATGAAAAAGACAAGAGATGGGCGTCTGGTGGAGAGCTCCAGCAAGAAGCAAACAAGTGGACATTGCACAGTGGGGCCATCAAGGGGGTAAATGCTGCGTGCCCTGCCCAGAGGATCTGAAAGGCTGTGTTCTAGGAAGGAATCGCTCAATGTGCTTCACAAATGGTTGCATTGCTCACATCCCTTAGCTCTTTTCTGTCTCGTGGGAACTAGCCGCCTTTGTTTGCTCTACCTAAAAAACTAAAGCAACTCTTAGCACGGCGCCCAACCCCTTAGTAAGTGCTCAAGAAACAGGACTTCCCTGCCTGCTGGAAACAGAGACAAAACAGAGCATTCCTGAATTTCAGGTTGCACCAAATGACAAAATGCAACATCTAGCTTTTTCCTGTAGTTAAGTGCCGACCCTTTGGCCACATTAATCCTCAAATGGGCAGTGGGAAAATGCTCTGCTATGAGGATTTATAATGCCTTTAATCCTGACTAGCCAGGTTTTTATGCCATTGCACCCCTACCAAGTGGGATTTTCCTAATGGACATAACCCCGTTTCTTTCCTCCTGATGGGGCAATCTGGGAGTGGCTCACTTTTGGGAAAACATTTTTGACATTTGGAAAAAGTTCTTTCCCCCATCCCTGCTTCAACTAATATTATAAAACCTCCAGGGACCAGGGATTTCTCAGTCACTCTGGGTTCATAGGTAAGGCTCTGTGTAAGGCACAAAGGAGTACCTGAGACAGAAGAGGATTGTGTGTGTGTCTGTATGCATGGGACAGAGCGAGCGAAGGCATTTGGTTCTTTTGGAAAGCTATGATTAGTGCGGTTTCCTCAGTCTTCTTACTCCCCAGTGTTCCCCAGGGCATCATGCAACACCCTTCCTTAATAAACTCAGAAGTCCTAGGAGTGACTGAATGAAGGAAGGAAGGAATGAGTGGATAATCTGAACTCCGGCTCTTTCACAGCCCCCATTTCACCACTTCCTACTCCTGCCTGTAGCTGCATCCCAGGGGTTTTTCCCTAGCTCAGCTAAAAGCAGTCAAATAAAATGACTCTCACTAGGGCACCACCCGCTGGGAGCTCCCCAGGTCCTGCCAGGCCCGCCAGCAGGAGTGCCGGTGCCTTTAATCCAGGCGCCCAAAGACTGGATTCCACAGAACCTAATGAGTGGCTCACGGCAGAGAAGGGGAGACCGAAAGCCCCCGCTTCCATCTCCAGCCTCCCTGTGTCAGCAAGGCCAGCATGGCCGGCCCATTCCTCACTCATCTCGTTTTCTGGATTCTGCGCACACGCACACCTCACGTGCTGTGTGCTCAGAGGCGCTGTTCTGCCTTGAGAAAGAAATTCAAACCACGACCAAAATGCTGGGCACTGCCCCACTCTTGGGATAAGAACCAACTCATTCTCCTACTCTACAGGCACGTGGGCTTCACAGCCACCTTCTGGTGTCCAGGCTGAACTGCGATTTAGCGAGGAAAACAACCTTGTATTTACGGTTGGTCTGGAAGCAACTTGAACTGAAAGCTGCTTTCATAACCTGCGAGTCAGGTCTCCAAATAAGACCACATTAACCGAAAGGTTATCTAATTTTGCCTACACTGATGTCACACCTCACCCCACCTCCTACCAAAAAGGAGCAACCTAGTTCAGCTGTCAGATCTTTACGTAACCCTCTCTTCCTGCGAGCCTGACTCCTGAGCCCCAGCGCTTCACAGAAATTCGTTCTTGAAACTGGCACCACCTCGGCCTTTCATGTACACACGCCTCTGTCGAGTGCCAGTGGAGCCAGGAGGAGAGCCACGTGCCTGGGTGACTCGGGGCTCGTCTGTTTTCTGCGTCTTCGCAAGGCATCCCCCTCACTGGTGCAATCAGGGAAGGGGAAGGCGAAGGCCCATCTGTAGGATGACACAGGTCATTAGATTGATTCTTGATGGCTGCCGGCCGCTCTGGCAGTGCCATTTTTCAACACTCACGTTCAGGTGCACTGCTCTGCCGCTATCTGACATCTTCAGAGCTAAGCGTGCATTACTGACTTTGTGGAGAAACAGTCCACAGACTCTGGGCCCGGCCCTGGAACAGAGGCACGCAAACACCCAGCGGACATGTGGAGCCCATCGGCTGCCACATACCCAAGTCCTCTTGACCCGTTTTGCCCTCCTAAAGGGAAAACGGTTTAGTTCCCTTTACTCGCTCAAGCAAGGAACAGATTTTTCTTAAAAGAACAGCAAAACTGGCTCTTGAACCCACTTGAAAGCGCCGTTGGACCTCTCTGGCTAATGTCTGGCTAATGTCTAGAAAGAGTCTGTCCTGGAAAGATGGTCTCCCAGTGAGAAAGCTTTGTGCTTTGTGGGCAGTGGTGTCTGGCGAGGGGAGGCAACGGCAAGAACCAAATCCTCAAAGCACTAAGGGCGGGGCCTAGAAATTTCCTTTTTCCTTCTCCCTCCTCATTCGGAACAGCAAGCTCGCTACTCGGTGAGCCTTAAGTACCCAGCGTAGGTCAGCTGCAGCCCGTGGGTGGCCCGGCCTGTCCGCTCCCTTCGGCCCTCAGGTGCGAAACCTTCCTTTCTCATTGAGCAAACAGCACTTGAGTCCATTCTGCCTTCTCAAACCTTGTCGGGCCCCAGATAAGCGCAGAGCGATGGGTCAGCAGTGGCCCGTGGTCACCAGCCATCGGCACGGAGCAGCAGCAGCGGAGACCACTGGCCGCCCCTTGCTCCCCACCACACAAGGTCAGGGGCAGCGAGAACCAGGCAGCCAGCCATGCCCGCTGCAGCTCTCGCTCGCTGTGCGCACACCAACGCGGCCGTCTCCCCGTCCGGAACCCTCTCCGTCACACGGGGACCCCAAATGGCCCAGGGGGACAGGCAGGGGTCTGCCCGTGAGGTGCAGGGGCAGATGTGAAGTCTGACACGGAACGGGCGCCCTGGGCGGGGGCCACGGAGACGGCCAGGGAGGGAAAGGGAGAGAGACGAAGTCGAAGGCGCTTCGGCCGCTACTAGACGTCAAGTACAGAACGTAAGCACATTCCCTACATGAAACTTTTGCAAGCTAGGAAGAGACATTGAGGGAGAGTCTTCTACCGTATAGAACACAAGACCGTTTCCATAGCTTTGTACGAAATAGAAAAGAAAAAAATTACCTACAAAAGTTACTTTCAGTCATTAAAAAACAAAAATAAAAGTAGGGTGGGGGTTAGGTTGTATCTCTTTGGGCGAGCTGCAAAGTAGCCAAACCTGTCAGTAAAGGAAGGGAGACACGCTGGTCACTGACCTTCCGGGCTGCGGACAAGCGGGCGGAAGTGGACTGCGGGGGGCGGGACCGGAGGCGGGGCGGAAGTGGACAGTGGGAGGGGCGGGGCTGGAGGCGGGGCCAGGGGCGGGCGGGGACGGAAGCCGACAGGGTTGTCGAAGTGCCTGCTGTCGGGCACAGGGCCTCCCTCTCTGTTACAGGAACTGGGGAGAGAGAGCATAGGGCCAGGAGCCCTGGCCCGGAGCAAGGCACTGTTCCATCTTTCCCTCTGAGTTCCTCCCATAGGGGCGCACGGGCTTAGGGGGTTTCTCAACGGTAACTGTTTTACAGGCCTCCAAAAAGAAAGAAAACTTCATCGGGAAAGACTGGGGATCCCAGAGCCTAGAGGCCCTCCCAGCGCCAAAGGCCAACAGAGCGGCTTGGAAGGAGCCGTGGGATCGCTCCGGCGTGGCTGCCCGCAGGAAGCCTGGGCGAGCTAATAAATACTATTTACAAATGGGGAGGAGAAGCTGGAGCGGCAGAGCTATGGGGGGAGGTCCTACCAGCAACGAGGCGGGGCAGATTCGCCTGGAGTAGAGGAGCCTGATCCCTTCAGGCATTGCACTTGCGGCCTGAGAACGTGAAGGGGGCCTCGCCCACAGTGCCAGTGCCCCGTCGGGCGAGGGCTCCAGCGGCGGGGGACCCGGGTGGGAGCGAGGGAGGACGTGAGTCAGTGCTTCGCCAAATCGCGACAGGCATCATGGCATTCTTGTGGCTGCAGTCTGGGGTGTCGATCGAACCAGTCTTGTCTTCCAAGGGGTCGCGCCTCGCAGGGGAGAGAATCAGGCAAGATCTTCTTTGGCACCGCTGGTGGAAACAAGCCTGCTTGCCCCACCCTCACCCCTACAATGGTATCTACTAGAGCGGTAAGAGAGAGGGAGGGGGAGACGTAGGCTCCCTGCTGCAGGGGAGGGGCAGGGACCAGAGGGCAGGGCGCGCTGTCCCGGCCGGCGGGGAACCCCAGGCTGGCCTTCCATCCAAAGCCACGAAATGCTCGTCCGTCCGTGTCTTTGTCAAGATCCAGTGGCACAGAGGAAACGCTTATGACAAAGGTGATTTGTGGATGGAGAGGTGACGTTCAGGGAGATGGGGCGGGTGCGGGCGGCCTCTTCAGAAGGTGGTGTTCACTCTCCTGTCGAGTTCTACGACTTTCAGCGTCTCGTTCCCCTCCAGGTTAGCGCTGACTCTGTGAAGGCGTCGAAAGGAAAAAGAAGTGTTGGCCACCAACTGTTTACTGCAACTCTGATGACACAGCCAATCCATGACAGCGGCCTTATGGGCTGGCCCAGGCTCCTCTAGGGTCCCTTTCTCTCCTAGCATGAATTCTCTGCTGCCCAAGTCCTCCCACCAACCTATCCACAGTCCCACCTTTACGCCACCCTGGAGCAGGCATCCCATCCCAGGGGACAAGCCTGGTGGTTTGATACTGGCTTGTCCCAAGTTGCTGACAATTATTGTATTCACTGAGGATGTTTAGCCCTATGCAAAAGTCTAGGGAGGAGAGCTAATAATCCAAAGATTTAGAACTGGTTTGAAATAATGAAGAATAGAAAATAAATACGTTATCAAGTTGTGTTCACAGCCCAGAGAGTCTCGAGGCACTCAGAGGAGGATGAGAAGAGCTCTGATATCCAGGAGACATGGCCAAACAGAGGGATCTGCCTAGGGACTTGAGGAGCTGAACTAAGTAGGAGAGAAGACTTGTGTCACGAGCCAGGTAACCAAACAGCTTGGTCTCTAGGAGCTTCCAGGAGGGGCTCCAGGCATTCCCCACAACGGGAAGACTGATAGCATCTTACCTCGTGGGGTGGTTGAAAGAATTTATGTGATAGCATACGTACAGTGATACAAATAGCAAGGGCCAGTACACGTGCAACCTACCTGCACATGGAGACCTAACAGGATATATAATGTGAGCCTTCCCTCTCAGGGCCAGGGTTAGAAAGCTGCGGAAAGAGTCTACGATGGAATCTTCCCCACTGATGTGGCAAAAGCCTCATTTCTGGGAGGGCTGGGAGCAGAGCTCAGCTAAATCAGCAGCCACTCCACTCGTCACCCACAAGGAGAAGCCATGTGCAGACCTGGGGGAGCTCACACTAGGTCTTCTCCTTGTCTCTGCTCAGGGCAGTCACTGGCCAGTCTACACCCCACAGTGCAGGCTGCTAACTCAGCCTGTTCCCAGTGTGCCAGTGGAGCTGAATATGTGTGTCTAGGACTCACAGGTGCTGCTGCAGCTCCGACAGCACTGACTTCTCCAGGCTGGTCTCATTCGAGAGAAGGAAATGAGGAAGATCCATGTCCGCTCTGGACTCCAGCCCTGACACCCTGAGCAGGGAGGAGCCTCTGTCCCAGCCCCCAAGCTCCCCTGCTGAGGCTGGGCTGGATGGTTCCTCCAGGGGAGAATGCTCTTCATAGATCAGCAGGTTCCTGGATCTCACTGAGGACAAAGCAAAGGAACAAAGTGTCAGCAAAAGGCCACAGGGGTCCAACACATCTCCTCACTCCCCATGCCCAGGGCTGGCAGAGATGACAACTGGTGGGTCCTTGTTGCCCGGGGCTTAAGGAGCCATTGGAACTGGGCTTTCTATAAAGGCTTCAGGGTTTTAGAGATTTTGCATCAAAAAAAATTATGCCAATTATACAGTGCTGGAAGAACTCAGAAAAGCAAACAAACACCAAGTAAACCACCCCCACTGCTTTGAAAATAAAAGTCCCTTCCTTGCCCACCTTTAACTATCTAGGAGAAAGAATCCGTGGGAAGTGGGAGTCAAATACTCAGAGAGGTCTAGGTGTAGCTAAGAGGAGAAGCAACCACAGTGAGTAGGTCTTGCAGGAAGATGAGGCACAGGGCATTACCACTCAGACCCAAAGCCAAGGCCATGAATCAAAGGGCACACAATCTCTTCCATCTTATAGGACAGTCACAGAGGATAGATGGCCCTCTTGCAATTTTCTGCAACATGGAAGTTGGCTTTCAAATAAACTTAGTGATGATCCTTGGGGAGGGGGAAATAATTTCTCAACAGGCCATGGAAATTATTTTATTGGAACACTACAGAATACATTTCTGTCACATACCTGGCAAAGGACGCACCTGCCCAGTGAAGACCAGACATTTCAGGATGGCAACACTGTCCCTAGAGCAAATATGATACCTCCTGACTCCAAGCTCATTCTATTAGTAAATCTGTTTGTGTGTATATCCCTTATTCACTATTCCTTTATTCCCTACATATTTAAAAGAGATAACTGATCTACCTGAGAATATATATATATGTATACACATACACACAAATATGTATATACATATATTTCTTATCAAACACCCGAATCTCCAAATTCTGTCAATCTTGGACATCATGTTTTATAAGATACACTAATTCTTTGATTTCATTTTACAGACTCTTACTATGGTAGCACACAATTCCACTCAGTGGAGGCAGAAATGCAAGAGCTCTCTTAAAATGTTATAAAAACATAATGTTCCCCCAAACACACACATCTTACTCCCTTCACAGAATCAAAAAAGAGGGAATGTCAGAATTTATCAGGGAACACAGTCTAGAGCAACAGTTTGCAAACTGCACTCTGTCGAGCTCTGCAGAATTCCCTGGGATGCTTCAGCCTGGAAGTAGGGGAGGGGCACAGGAGAACCGGCCGCTGGGATACCGACAGCACCTTCGTACGACTTTTCAAAGTTGTACAAAGATTCCTTTCAGAAAGCTCCAGAGAAACGAAACACGACACTTCCCAGGTTGCTGCTTCCCATCTTACCGACAGATGCTGTGTATGGCTCTGGCATGGAATGCTGGCTGGGCAGCGCCATCTTGGTGGCAGAAGGATAGGGCCCATAGCCCTGAAAGAAGCTACCAAAGGCAACAGCAAAGCACAGCACAACGACCTGGAGAGGGAAGACAGGCATGGGGGGTTGTGGGTTCCGGGTGCAGGGCCAGGGAGACTCCCCTCCACCAGGCCCACAGACTGTACCCACATATCACATTACTGTCTCACAGAGGAACAGCATGCTTTCTCTGGCCACACACAGCACTCGGCCATGGAAAGCTGGGAGGGACCAGAGACGAGGGGCCCAAGCAGGGGCAATTACTGTTCCGTCCCTTGGGGAAACTCACCATGAGACAGGTGCCGGTCTGCGTGCCAGCCAACTTGCAGGTACGAGACACCTTGCCCATCACCAGGGTCTGCAGCTTCTGGAGTTGCTGAAGCAGAGTTCTGCCAGGGTAACAGACGAAGGCCATGAGAGGAGTCTAAGAGCTAAGGGATGTGTCAGGATGACCCCACTTGCTCTGTGCTCCAGAACAACGCTGTGACTTCATGCCTGCCTGGAACAGATACTGCAGGCTGGCTTTGGGCGCAGACACAGATGCCAGTACCTTAACACCATCATCACACAGCTTGCCGGGGCTCAGAATCAGCCCGAGCACGTGAACAGCTTACTCTGTTCTTGGACCATTCTAAGAGGTGCATGCTGCCACATGTTTCTGACAGGTGTGACTTGTCAGTTTTTAAGAACAGCAAAAAGAATACTCTGATCTGAATGCTTGGATCTTCCCCCTGCCCCCAGAACCACCAAATTCAGTTGTGAATTTTGGTTAAAATTTAACCAAAAAAGGAGACAAGAAACCAGACTCCCAATGTGATGGCCTTAGGAGGTGAGGCCTTTGGGAAGTAATTAGGTCAAGAGCATGGAGCCCTCACTGAATGTGGTTAGCCCCCCAAGAAGTCACTAAAACCACTGGAGCTCTTCCCTTCCACACGTGAGGACACGGCTGGGAGGCACCGTCCACCACCAGGAAGTGAGCCCTCGCCAGATACCGAACTCGCCAGCACCTTGGTCTTGGACTTCTGGGCCTCCGGAATTGTGGGCAATGAGATTCTCTTGTCTACACGCCACTCTGTGTATGATATTCTGTTACAGAAGCTGAACAGACACAGATAATGGCATTAAAAGGAGTTCTTTCATCCAAGAAATGAGAAAATACTGATGAAAATAAGAAAAGGGAAGAAAAAGATCAGCAGAGAACCACTGGAGGCATGGCCAGAGGAGATGGCTGTGATTGGAAAAGGCAACAGCATCACTGAACAACAGGCCTTTGGGAGGCAAGTGGGGGAAAGAGAGAGGGAAAGGGGGTGGGGAAGCAAAAGAATGGCTGTGTTCAGGGCCAGGACGCAGCCACCTGCGCTGAGGCCCATGGGTCTTGAAAGCTCACAGCACGCTCACAGTCAGAAATGAAGCCAGAACACGAAAGAGCAAAGATGCCTGATCGACTAGACTCTCGGGCTCCCAGCCAGGGGTTTTGGAACTCATCCTCTGGTCTTTCTCCAGGAAAAGACAGAGAGCAGGAGCAAACGAGTTATTTTATCCCTAAAATTGGACAACAGTGCCTCCCCTTAAAAGGGAAAGGTCTGGGGATGAGAACAGTGCCACATACTCTGTTCTGTGTGATGTCGGGACACAGGAAGAGCAGATGGTGATATTCTCTGCAGTTCCACAGTGCAAGGCAGAGAAACGGATCTGACAACACACCCTCCTGGATCAGAGCATGTAGGACGGGTTCTGCGCAAGAGTGTAAGGAGGTGAAGCTCCTCCTCACCTCACCCCGATCCCCACACCCAACGCACCCAGCTGTGGGGACTTTATGGGCAAGCACTATTTTTTTTTTTTTTTTTTTTTTGAGTCTCGAGGATTTTCAGAAAATCCATGCTGTGATGTAATGTTGGAAGCCACACAAGTTCATCACCAAATCAAGCGCTTGCAGAATTCTGGGCTTCCACAGCTAACTTGCTTCTCATCATAGAATTCTTTGAATAGGTCTCAAGTGCCAAAGGACAAGTGGGTTCTTCCTAGGTTTGCAGCTTTTCTGGTAAGTACCAATGAAACAAGTTCTCCCAGTTTTAACAGATCAAGGCCAGGTTGGCCATAACCTTGCTTTCAGTAGTTGAAGGAGGTGTGGAAGAGCTGGAACATTCCATACAATGTGCAGTGTGGGACTCAGAACACTAAAACTCTAGGGGGCCCATTACATGTTTGCCTTTAAGTTTAATTTTAATGGAAGCGAAGCAAAATCATCTACCCATTAATTCAAATTATATTTAGTGTGTAAATTGAAATTGTTCATCTTTCTGGTCATGCAGAAGTATGATCACACATAGCTTGCACCCGGTTTACATTTATGTAAATACCTTCAGGTCACAGATTCTCTAAAAGCATCCTGTAATGTCACTCGGGTCCGAGAAATACTGACCACTTTAAATTCTCCTTGTGGGTTTACCTAAGGGGTGCCATGATACAGCTGCTTCTTTTCCTCATCCAAGTTTTTATCTCTTCTCCCAGGATTTCTCCATGAAACCCCCTCCTATCCATCAGCGGGGCTGCCTTCTTGAAGCTGAGGGCTGAGTGGTCCCCTGTGCAGCTACCCATTACAGAGATTCTGCTGGCCACATGTGGGACTGACCACCATCTGTAATACCAGCTGCAAAGCCTTTGCTGTTGTATTTCTGGAAGTTCTAGGCCCACAGATAAGAGCACACGGTACAGACATTTTTCTCTTGTGTGCTGGCCACTTCCCATGTTGTCAGTTACTGAGATCTTGGCTGCCTGATGAGCTATGGCAAGTGCCTCCCTGC